CCTTCCACAGCAATTATTTTTAGTTAGCATATAGCTAAAATCTAACCATGGTTATATAATAACAGCTGCATTCTGACGTGATAAGCTGTATGTTTTATATTCAATTAACTTATGATCCAATTAGTCGACTAATCGAAAAAATAATCMGTGATTAATCGTTTAAAACATAATCATTTGTGGCAGCTCTACAGTTTAGTCACAAATACTTTGACATAATAGCTCAGAAAATGTCATGGAAACTAGAGAAAATGAACGGATTGAAAAATATGATCCAACAAGAAAATAAAGATATCTATGCAGCACCAGGAGAGACTGAATTCTACATTCCTGTACTCCTAGAGACAACAGTTTACATGTAGCAGCTAAAAACCTGGATTTTGCATGACATGTCCCGTTAAACATGAGTTTCATTATTGAGAAAAGAAAATAAATTTTAGATTTTTATTTCAGGTTCAAATTTCCATCTTTTCTAAGTAACACTGGAGAAAAAAAAAACATGGAGAACAAATACAATAACTGCATGAATTATCTTCTATACTCAGGGGTCCACTCTGTTTATGTATGTGTTTTCTAATGGCGAACTGAAATGTTTCAGAAATGTGCTGTCTGTATAATGAGATGAGACTAAAAGCTTCCTCTTTGTTTCCTATTTGTCCCTGTGCTTGTCGGTAAGAGCACCCATCCAGAAACTTCCTCTGTTTGCGATAAAGCTGTTGAATTGATCACTGAGATGATGGTTTCTGTTAATAGGAATAATGAGTTTTGATTGCAGAAACCGTTCAATTTAACACCAAAGCGAGAAATGTGCATTTTAACCACAATTTTGTACATGTATTTTTTTTCTTTCCTGAAGAGTTCCTAAATGCTGATGAAGCTTGTGTGAGAATCTAGGGTTTTGCATTAAAATGGATCTATGTAATTATGTCTGACTCAATATTTCTGTGCTGTGAGTTATTTATGCCATCTGTGAGTGAGACACACTTTTTAACTGTAACTTACTGGAAATTAATACAGAACAGTGAGTAAAAGGAATTGGCTTGCTTTTTGGTTTTCTAATCAAATTATTTTGAAACCAATATGCTTTATGTAGAAAACAAAGGAGGAAACAGACTAAAGCCATGCAAAGAATGTAAATTCAGTCAGGCTACTCTTTCAGATYGGAGAAATTAACTAGATAAATTTGACTTCTTAGTTTTATAAAGCTGCTCTTTAGCTGCATTATATAACTATGATTATTATCTGAATTGAATAAAATGATATAATAAATTGCTAATTCTGAAGGTCCTAGCAGGAGCTCTATAATTGGTGAATCCTGAGAATAAATCAACAAATGTTTATTGAAAATGTTTTGACACACCAGCTAAAAAAATTAACTCACTTTATAGTAGAAAACTTCTCTTTACAAATGAAAAAAAGCAGCAGTGGACATTAAGGACACACAAAGTCTTTTCTCAATAGATTATGCTGTTAATGATATTTTACACTACCCAAAGACAAGAACGTTATTTGTATTTTTTTTTTCATCGTCATGAGTTTTTTTGTGCCTTTCTGAACAAAAATTTTGGTTCCTTTTCAGTCATTTCACTCAGTACAACACACAGTTGTATATGGGACACGCGCGCCCTCGCGCACCTGGCTGAAGCCACCTCTAATCACGTCTTTAGACCAGTGACGTGGTGACGTTTCTACTGGATCTAAACCAAGAGGAGGACGATGTTCTGCAGATGGAGCAGGAGGTTCTCAGTCTGTCCGAAGACGACGAGGAGCCGTGCCCAGCTCACTCCACCCCTGCTGCTGCGAGGGTGGACCAGGATTCGTCCTTCTTGTCCCTGTGCCGCCGAGCTGCTGCTAAACTGGAGGTACAGTGGCCCGACCCCCCCACCTGCTCAAAAGCCGTCGAGTTTCGCAGGGTTTTATCTCCTGTCTGAACCGGCTGATGTGAAGCACTGTCTGCCTATGTTTCCGGACTGCGTTCGTAAGCTGCGGCCTGCTATTAAACCCAGTATTCCCTCTTGGGACCTCACTGTGGTTCTTGAGGCCCTCTGCGACCCTCCATTTGAGCCTCTAGAGTCTGTAGAGTTGAAGTTTCTTTCATATAAAGTTGCTTTGCTTCTGGCTTTGGTTACAGCTAAACGGGTCGGGGACCTCCACGCTCTGTCAGTGAACTCCTCCTGTATCCAGTTTTCTACTAATGACTCTAAAGCGGTTTTGCACCTTAACTCTGCGTATCTTCCTAAGGTGATACCTTCTAGTTACAGCTCTATGTCTACAGAGCTTTCCAGCTTTCACCGCCCCCCCTTTGCATCTGAGGAGCAAAAGAGGCTGCATCTTCTGTGCCCCGTACAAGCTCTACGCACTTACATCAGCCGCACACAGGATGTAAGGTCATGTGAACAGCTGTTTGTGGCTGTTGCTAACACACAGAGGTAAAGCTCTTTCTAGACAAAGACTCTCTCACTGGATTGTAGAGGCCATCTTGCTAGCATATAGCAGCAAAAACCTTCCAATCTCTCTTGGAGTTAAAGCTCACTCCACCAGGTGTGTAGTGACATCTTGGGCCCTTTTTAAAGGGGTACCTGTGAGTGACATTTGTGCCGCGGCCAGCTGGGCCTCACCAAACACATTTGCACGATTTTACAGCCTGAATGTAACAGCACCTTCAGTGGCTCATTCTGTACTTTCTGCCGGGTCCAAAGCTCTGCATTAGTACAGTACTTACTCAGGCACACTACTTAACTCAGGTCTGATACTGCTCTGCGAGGCGCTTTGACAAGTCCCATATACAACTGTGTGTTGTACTGAGTGAAATGACTGAAAAGGAACGTAAGGTTATGAATATAACCACGGTTCCTTGAAGGAATGGAACGAAGTACAACACCTTGTTGGCCCCGCATCACAAAAGGCTCGGTGAAGGGCGGTATCTAACTGAATAATGACGCTGGTGACTCCGAACTTATAGGGTGAAGGCGGAGCCTGTCACCCGACGTTCAACGTCACCACGACACCGGTCTAAAGACGTGATTAGAGGTGGCTTCAGTCAGGCGCGTGTGTCCCATATACAACTGTGTGTTGTACTTCCATCCATTCCTTCAAGGAACCGTGGTTATATTCATAACCTTACGTTCTGTTGGGTCTCTGTTAGGCAGCGTCATAGTTATTTCTTTTAAGTATGCACCTTAGGATAGTGGTGGTTAAATGCAAACAGAATAATTTTAGATTTGATTTTGGATGTTTTTATTGATCTCTGTAGATGGATTTGAACTTAGGCCTGTTGTGATAAGCAATAAAACAATTTTTATTTATTAAAAAATATTCATTTCATTTAAAAACAAAACAAATGCTATACATACAACAAATAATACAAAACACAAATAAAATGAAAGGTAGCAGAAAGAAGAAAAAAATTCTTAAAAAAATTAATCGCATGATGAATTTAAATGAGGGCGATAATTTTCATTTTTCTGCTTGTTTGTTTTCTTCGTGCCTCCCTCTTGTCTACTCCTTAGTGTAGGGAGGTGTGAACTGTCATGTCAGGTATTTCCCATGCGCTTAGTCTCATAACCACTGTAGCATAAAAGCCCCATGAACAGGTATGTAGCTAGAAGAGTGTCTCTGCTTTTCCGACACCCTTAGGGCACTGTGCCGAACCTGGGGTTCGCTGAGTTTCTTTTTTGTGTTTTTTATGTAAATTTAGCTAAATTCTGTAAATTTAAAAGTGGTTTCAGGGTGACTGCAATTATTTTATGAAGCCACATTATAGTAGTTTAAAATGGGCTCCAAAAATATTATCATTTATCACGATTATTTCTGAAACACTTCATCGTTCAGCAAAATTTGTTATTGTGACAGGGCTATGTGGGCTGTAAGATGAAAAAATGTGCCTTGGGCCTTCTTCACATTGGACAAATGACACTGTTAAAACATGGCTGGATCACTTCAAACCTAAAAAAAAAATTTGTGTGGGGGCCATAATGACACATCTATGCAGTACTCGCCAAATAGGTTTTTTCTGCTATTTTAAACATCCCTGAGACACTCTTCTGTGCCCTAGCACGACATTTTTTTTTTACCACAACAGGATACAAGTTACACAATAGAAGAGCACACTAGCAATTGACCGAAACAGGTTTGTTTTGTTTTTTTTCAGCCAATTTTATTTTTATTGTGTAGGCCGATTCTTAAAGCCGATATTGCTTTTTATTTCTCCATGTCTCACTGTGAGTAAAGAGACAGACTTTCAAAGGGCAGATACAGKTAAATTAGAGTCAAAAATATATTAAAAATTGAAAACTTACCCTTGTTGTTATTGGCTCTCAGTCTTACAACATTACCAGCCACACTCTGCCAGGGAGGGAGTGGCAATGTATGCYGTCATGTCATCTCAAGGTATGGCTGCTGAATGTGCTAATGGATTGGCGAAGGCATGCATGTATCGGCCGATGATGATACAAGAAAAAAACATATATCGACCAAAAGTGTGTACAATAAGTTGCCTTTAGGCCCAGGCTTCCCTTGAAAAAGAGATTTGTGATCTCAATGGGACTTGCCTGTTTAAATGAGTCAATAAAAAAAAAAATCGGCCAGCTGATGTATCCGTTGACCTCTAGAGCACACCATACTGGCCTGATGCTAATAGCTCAGGCATCAGGTCTGCACTAAATGGTTTCCATGACTTTCTCACAATAATGGTTGTAGCCTGGGCATGTGGACAGTATAGCCACTCCCTCGTGCATAACCCTCATGTCACAGACATCCTGTCATCGCGCTCCACCTGAGATCTTGATACACTGCCACCACATTTATAAACCACCACGATTTATGGAAATTTAGTGCATGCTCTAAAACATTCTGAATCTGTCACACATAATGCAGCACCTACTTCATTATTAATACTGGCCTGAAGACCTTACCAAGACCCTGCAATGACCACCCAGGTTTTGGCTAATTTATTTTTCATCAGTTGGCACCCATTGTGAAAGGGCCATTAACTGTGATGTAGACTAGCCAAGTCCCTGCTGTCTAACAAACTCACCATCCTGCTGTAACATCCACTGTAGGCAGATAGTTTGTAAAACTAACTGAACACAGTTCGACTAGCTGGAAAAATCCATCTTTGTTTTAACAGTTCAGGAAAAAAAAACATACATTTTTATTCAAGTCTGTTAGTCATCTGCCAAAATGCATCCTGAAAAAGTAATTCTTTACTCCTACTTTCTTGGTTTTCTAATACGTAGTGTTCATTGTATATAAACCATGTTTTTTTTTTTTCATTCTCCTTCACCCACGCGCACACGACACACTCTGGATGTCGTGTTTTGAAGAGGTCTGGGTCAGTGTCATGTGGGAGTGATGCAGTTCTTTTTTCCCTTAAATGTTCAGCTGAATGTTAAATTCAGTAAAAAAAAAACATCTGCAAATTTTTCCTTATAAATGGGGGTCTTCTGTCTGTAATTTGTTGAAAGTTTTAATCACATTTTCTGGATCGAACACAAAGCTTCTTTCACGCTCAACAACAGTCTTGCCAAAAGGGAAAAAACAAAAGTGCCACCACCATCTGCTGCTCCACACAAGTTACATTCTGAAGTGATGGCTCTTGTTATGTACTCTGAGGAAGCAAACTCATTATCAGTGCTGTTTCAGGTGTTTGTTTTGTAACACTTTATAAAAAACAAAACAAAAAAATTATTTATCCTCTGTACTTCTTAAGTACAAACCTATAGTTTTGCTCAGACTGCTCTCCAATCAGGAAAACATGACTTATGTAATTTTTTCCCCCTTCCCAGTTCTTCCACTTCTCCTCCAGTGTTTTTCCTCCTCTGGATGGTCAGTTTGCCGGTCGTATCAAATGGCAGGGAACCCCGGCCCGTGGTGATGCTTCCATCTCTCTGATCAATGCCACGCTGACAGATAACGGAACCTTCACGTGCTCTGTCAGAAACCCTCCTGATGTCCACGGGTCTCCAAGCTCACACACTGTGCTCACAGTCACCCCAAAARGTAAGAAGCTTCATAATCACTCACTGATAGTCAATAAGTGTGGCCTGTCTTAGTCTTAATCTYTAAACCTTCAACTTGCTCTTTTTGTGAATCAACAATAAGCAAAAATGGATTTCTCAATGTAATATATTACACACAATTCCTTTTAAAACTCAATATAACACAATTTCACTTGAAGTGTGCATGCAGAGGTCATTGATTCTCCAGAATATTTTTATTAACATTGATAAATTAAACCAAACACATTCACTATTTGAGTCCCATCATGATGCAGTCATTTTGACTCTTAGTTTATTAGCTGAGTGTTGACACTTTAAGATGATGATCACTGGAGACAAACTCTAACTGGTAGAGCTGGGCGATAGAACAATAATATATACTGTGATAGACAGGTGATCAATACCAGTAGAAAATACATCCAATAAATTGTTGATAATCTCACTGAACTCCAATCCAGAACCACACGGCATTCTGGGAGACCTCACCTAGCCCAGCTAAGCAAGGTTGGAGGCATCAACTCACTCACCCTTTCGTCAGCGATCAACATCTTGTTGAATAATGTGCAGCAACAGTTTCGTGTTTCACCGCCGTGCCTCATAACTGCTTCAAAAAAAAGAAGAAAAAAGAAAAAAAAGAAACAACATTAAAATACGTGCAGCTTGAGAGGAAATAATGGATAAGAGGAAAGATCACCTGTTTGACAGTATTAATCAGCATTTTTATTCTCCTGCTCCTTATTTTGAATAGGCAAAACAAAACAAAAAACTAATCAATAATTATTGATATCTATTGATATGAAGTGCTTATATCACAATACATTTTTCCACAGTAAAGCCCTAGTATTTGGTACTTAAGATAAGTAAAAATCGACATAATTTCCTCACCTGTTTAAATCGCCTGCGGTAACAGCACTGCTGAAGCTTACTGGCAAACACAATACAACTTAATTGTTTATGCCTTGGAGGAGTTGAAAAGCAACCAGGAAGGTGTAGGTTCCAGTTAGCAAGAGGATGGACATATGGCTCCTTTTAGTAGAGATGTATTTATTTAATATACAAAGCAGGCCCACTATGTAGTGCATTAAAGATGTTTGTTTCTTTAAATATAGCTGTGCAATTTGTTGCAAACTTAAAGGTACTGTATTTCAAGGGATACTTTAAATCTGTTGAGGTAAGCTTTTGTAGAAAAGTTATAAAAAATAATGTTTGCTGTAGATAGCTCTTTGAATGACTTCACCTAAGTGATTAAAAGTTAATTCTGACCAGATTGACGTGCTGCCTGCTTGTACAAATGAATTTGTGCGCAGTTTTATCAACCTGTTTATTAGCTTACATTTTTCATTGCACAGTTGTTCTGGCAGAAATATCATATTAACCACAGGACTGTATATAAACTGTGTGAATATTTCAACACAAAAAGTGGCATTCACTGTGTGAGCTGTGTAAATGGAGTCCAGAGCAGAAGGGCACGCATGTAGGCAATAAATTGAACTCAAGTTCAGTAAGTGTTGCTAGGAGACTGTCAATAAAGTAGGTAGTTTTTCCAGCTGCATTGTGAGTGCTGCGTTTCTGATGAAGTGGGGTAAAAAAGCAAACAGCAAGGCATCTTAAAGTGTGACAGACTGTTGGCATGCTGGTGAAGGGCCGTGTCATAAAAGTTAAAAGCTGTAAAAACACGAGTAAATTTCACTTTGTTTGTGTTTTTAAATCTGATTAGGCACACCATCACAGAGCTGTCCTGTACTATGTTAGAGTTCAATTTTAAACTTTGATGTGAAGTAGGATGGCACAGCAAGCAACAACCTTTTTACACACACCTGTTTATTCTAAAGAAGAATATATTTGGAACTATTTTTTTGGAGTTCATAATTTGTTGTACACTTAAATGAAGCAGCACTTAAAGGAGACATATCATGCTAAATGCACTTTTTTGCATTATAAACTATTTTTTGTGCAATTATAGTGTCTAGGAGTGTAGAAAACTTTATTTATTCTGTCCATTTACTGCAAAGATATTTTTATATTTTTTTATGGGTCAAATTTTTCAGTTTGTTCAAAATCTTCTGTAGCTTATTTTGTTTCATTGTTTATTTCGTCACACTTTTTTTTCAGAACTACCATTTATGGTAATGTATTTCCGGCCAACTGGATTTCATCGTCTGCCATTTTTTTCCTCGCTGTGTGATTTTGTAGTTCATAGCGTCATGCCGAACATGCAAGTCTAGAAGTCAAAATGTTCGGTTCTAGGGTGTGTAAACCCACATTATTATCTACATAGACTACCAGCGTCAGAGCAGAGCTTCTTCAAAGTGCCTGGTTAAGTTTTATTTTTCAAGGAAATGGACCCACAACAGGGCGGAAAGTGCTTGCGGACAACACAGGATGAATGTTACAACAAGGGTGAGTTATGAACTGTAAATGTGTTTTAACTGTCTAATTTAGCTGTTTCTACCCTCTGTGTCAGTATATGAGGGGAGAAAGAACAGCTGTGTTTAAGTTTCTTTACTGAATGGGTGTGCAGCACCATGTTTTTACTTTCACTTTCGCCCTGCACTGTAATCAGCGTGTCCGTGTTGTTTTTCTTTTTAAAAATGCTGGAGCATTTCAAACTGTGATCTAAAGTTAACGTCAGCTGTTTTAAATGCATTTTTTACCTGGTGCAATGCATTTCAATGAAAATGCACATCTGCAGGCAACTACCTCATCTGAAGAGCCCATGTAGATTATTCTTTCCC